CGCATCGGAGGAGTCTTCTGTTTTGGACGTCCTTCGTCGCGGCGCTGTGACGTATGCGGCCGACAAATTCAGCCTTCGGAGGACCCGGCCTGCCGTTTTGGACACAGCCTGTTACACCTGGCTGACCGATCCGTCGGGTTTGGAAATGTGTTCAGACTGTAGGCAGCTTTCTGTGGCTTTCTTGAATCACTTGAACAGTGTCGCTTCACGCTGAGTTTCCCGCTTCAGAAAACAAAACAAAACAAAACAAAAACTCTCTCTCTGAATATCACCTGTACCTCCCCCTTTTTCCAGTCTTTTGTTTTGCTGCATTTTAATTTCTTTGACGTAGTTACCACTACAGTCTGCTTAAACCAAATCCATGTTATTTGTGCTGTTTTTATTTAGGTAATAATTGTTTTAACAGTGGCGACAGCTTGTTGTGATTGCAAATAAAACATGAGAAGTTTGGTGTTTATTGACCAAAGTTACAAAGATTTAAATATGTAGAATTTGCAAAATGGCAGTTATTGCATGTATATTAATTAGGATGAACAGAAATACTGGTTTTTGATTGTTTATTACATAATGCACCAGACTATTACTTTATCATTTCAACCAAAGAGCAACCACCACATTTTGTAATAGCTGCCACAAAATGTACTAATGTTATTATGTACTTATGCGAGTATTATAAAAGGCGTTGAAGACTTTTATTACATTTTGCATCAGTTATTACATAATGTGGCTTTAGCGCAAGTTTACTACATTTTGAAGCCTCATTTTATTACATTATTACATAAAGCATTGTTCTTACAAAAGGTCAGGAAAGCTAAACACTTCAACCAAAGAGGGGATGTATTTCAAAATAAAAGCAATCTAGCACTTAAAATTGTGGAAGCTTATGTATAAAATCTTTACAGGCTGTAATAGTTAAGACATATTTATGCACACATAGTATAATGTGGTTTAAAGAAACTATTTAAAACTTATACTGTAAGTGAACATTAAGATTGGAAGATTTTCAACAGAAACTGTAGTTGTGTAAAAATAATAACATATTAAAATATAATTTCAGTCAAAGAAAAAACACTTTCTATGACCAGTTTAAGCTTTGAATGTTGTTTCTAAATTCATAAATAAATTCAAACACTACAGAAAAACTCATATGAAATACTAAACAAGAGCAGAATGAGTTCGATTATTTGTCTTGTTTTTGCACTGGCAGATTATTTCACATAATTTGAGAAGATTCAGATTATAATTTAGTATATTTGAAACTTATTTTTAGATGGCTGTTTTAATTTAATAAGGCTTGATATTTTTTTCGTTCATTTAGCCAAAGTTTTATTGTTATTGTGGATTTTTCCAGTTTTTGTAAGTTTTTAATGACATATGATGGATGTTTGTTTCAAAATTTCATCTCAAGATATCTGTGTATAAAGTAGTAACAAAAAAAATATTTTCTGTTATGGTGTTTATCAGAAGAATGATCTTTTCTGTGAAATCTCGTTTGCTTTGATGAAAATCTTTCGAAAAACTTTCTAATGTCCAGAGTCGAAGTCTGGACATATTTTACATGACAGCACCTCAAAGGTTTTACTTTTATAATCTCAACATTAAATCTTTATTTAGTATCTCTGGATTTTGGCTCAAATTGAACCAGATTTGCTCCGGGTTGTAAGTAATTTTGTGCGGTTTAGTGGCTTATAAAAGTGGGATTATGTGGATTATATTTAGTCCAAACCATTTAAAGGCACAGTGTGTAGGATTTGTTGTTTTCAGCAACATCTAGTGGTTGAGTGGTTGAATCATCCTCCC